CCCCAAAACCCCAAAACCCCAAAACCCCTTATTGACAATATTGATGAATTTTAATGTATAAGAGAATTTAATGCTTTCTTAATTTCTTTAATTAAACGTTAATTTGCTTTATATTAGAATCAAACTCATGTAAAATAATGATGACTCTGCAAAAAGCCCTATTTATTAAAATATATCCAAGCACTTTCATAGTGATAAATACTTTTCAATTCTTTGCCTTTATTCTAGTCTTTCCATATTGCTTTTTTCCGAAGTCAAAAGGAATGTATTTATATCTGATCATGTGCTCTATTTTGTACCTGCATAAGAAAGTAGTCATAAACACGAAATATGATGCTAATAGTGGCCAATAAATTGGAAACACAAAGAACTCAAAGAATGTCATTACAAAGCACATCATTGTTGCATACGTTAGTAGTTTCCTATAAGTATTTATTAATGCTTGCTATAACCTTACCATAATTCAAACTCATATATTTTCCTGGCGAAACCTTTGTATTCATCATTTTCCCTAGTCAGAATAATGTTAGACACTTATTGATAAATAGATATTGTCAAATACTTACCTCATAGGCAGGATAAACTCTGAATCATTTTCAAACTCCATGTCCTCTGGGTCCTCTGCTGGGGATAAATACAATAGAAACTAATTCAAGTAGAACAGTCCCAATAGATAAGTGATGAGTGCATACCCTATAGAATTTTATGATAATGAATTTTTACCATCATTAATGTATATCCTCAATATGTAGAGGATGGCTAATACGACTAGGAAGACCCATCTCTGCTTGGGATATGCTGATATCTAATCTAAGAATATTCTGTACTTTCTCTTTAGTACGAACTTCAAGTCTTCAATGTCTAGTTTACCAGTGCCCTCTGCCTCATTTGGGTTAGAGCCTCCATTCCATTAAGATTAATTACTCATTTTCAGAATTATATATAATTTGAATTAATACTCTTTTAATGACTACTCAAAATTTTATCAAATTTATACTTACGGGGTTTTGGGGTTTTGGGGTTTTGGGG